GGCCTAAAGACCAAAAATTCATTGTGTTGTGATTCTTGTTATTCTTCTTCGTTTTTCTTGTGGTTTTGTTACAAATCATTTTCTACAAACTTGTTTGGGACCACCAGATTTATGATCACCTCCATCGAGGGCATCATCTCGACCGAGGGCATCACCTCCGCCGAGTGGATCACATTCGCCAATCAGGTCTCTTTCTCCCTCGTCCACTCACCTACCCTGTGGATCTCCTGCACACAGTCAAAGGCAGTATTTCGCTGATCTGTATGACCGTCGACTGTATTTATAGTTGGAGAGGTGGGGGGACTGTGATAAGAGTTGATAGGAAGGGTCGACGATCAGTACGATCGCCTGACGGAGCAGATGGGCGAGCGAGAGTTTATAGGAAGGGTCGACAATTTATCCAATAATGTTGGAGTTCTACGTCGCCACTTGATAGACCTTCAGGATGAGGTCGTAGCCCTCCGAGCCGATATAGCGGGTAGGGGATGGGATGACAGTCGGGGTGATCGAAAGAGTGATGGAGATGGTGATGGGGAGATGGGTCACGGACAGTTCTGGAGGGATAATGCTGATTTGGAATCATTTTTGTCATCTGTGGAACGGGAGGAGGTGGTCGGGGAGGATAGGACGAGACGGTGGCCCCGACGGAAAGAGGAAAGTGAATGGGAGGGGTGGCGGGGAGGACACGATGGAGGCAGTGGCTCGATGGAGGTGGCAGAGGAGTTGGAGAGCCATGAGGGGGTCGTTGTTCCCGGCTCGGAGGAGAGGACCGAGAGGGTGACTCCGATGGATGTGGAGGTGGGAAGCCCCAAGGAGACGACCGTCCCCGGGGTAGAGGATGAGAGTACGCCCGATGGGCTGAGGAGAAAAAGCGTGCCGTGGATGGCCCGGAGCAGATGATCGGCACGAGGGCCAGGTTCCATCACAGTACGTCGTTTCTCCCTTCACGATCGAGGCGAAGAGGAAATAACTAGTCTTATTATTAACTAGTATTATTAACTCGACGTCATCTGGCAGGGATCCTGGCTCATCGACGATGTAAGTTAATTAGTCTTATTATTATTTATTTTGTTTATGAAATGAAATAACTCATTCATATTTTTATTGGTTTTTCTTGATGCAGCACATTGACATGGCCATGGACTTGTTACGCGATCGTACTCAACGATGTCCAAAATTGTTTAACGTTCCTGGCTGAGTTATACCGAGCATCAAGTCTCTCCAGGTTTTGGGTAACACATACACGATGCCTGATTATATGATGGAGTGGGTCATAGGAATGGGCCGAGTGTCGGAGTGAAGTCATGGGAGGGTTGTACACATATGTACATTCCAGTGATTGCGAATCGGTACTGCTTCGCCGTGGAGATCGTATTCGATGACTCCACTATCTATATGTACGACTCTAATCATTCGTGCCTGACACAAGGCCATCTCGACCAATTCCTAGAGCTTGTGGTTGTGATAATTCCTATGATGGCTAGACGAGCGGACGTGACTGTGCAGGATAGACTAGCAATCGCGCTGGACACGATGACGGCGGGACAATCCATATCGTAAGTGTTTATAATTTATTTTAACTAGAAAATTTAATATTTTAGCTGCACGATTTTTGTCTAACACATTATGATTTGAATTTCAGGGGTGACTGCGACATGTACGCAATAAAGTACATAGAATTTTTGAGTATAGAACATAAGATTGATGGAATCAACCAATCATGGATTCAGATTTGGATAAATAAATTAGCATGTGACTTGTACGAATTCAATTGTGATCCATAAATATGTGTGAATATTGTACAATCGATGTAAACATTGTATACTAATTTGTATTCGATTAAATGTATTCAATTGATTATTTATTTCCGAAATAGACGTAAACATTGTAATACAATTGTAATCATTGTAATACAGTTGTAAACATTGTATACTTATTTGTTTATTTACGTACGAAATAATTGTAAAAATTACAAAAAATGTGTAAAAATAGCGAATATTCACATATGAATTAATTATAAAGAATACTAAAATGAATGTACATATTGTTCATTTAACAACAATAACATTACAGACTCGACTAATCGTCATTCAGGAGAATCTGACTCGTATAAATTTGACGAGTACGGCCGACTGCTCTATATGCCACACCTATGCGGTCGAGGAAACTCTCCAATATAGGGTATTCTAGAAGTACATGGATGTCCAGGGCCACACGGTTCAAATACCTGTGGCAACAAACTATTAAGTGGGAGAATATGGTCAGGAACTTCTCAATAAGCTTCGTTCGGTAGGGGAAATATAGTCTCAACATACGCTACTCTCCAATAATCAGCCATGTAATAAGGAGAGCATAATGTTCTCGCTGAAAAGCCTCTGTTCATAGATACCGCGACTGCATGCTCGCATGAAAAACTCTCCAGTTGAAATCGAGTACAAGTACATGTGTTGTCAATCGATCCACCATGTATGCCACATGACGCGCACGTTGTACGGAGAAGCGAGACTCGTCCAGTAGTTCCACGATCAACTTTATCGCAACCTCTGTAGCCTTGAACAATTTATCCTCTTAAGCTGGTGCTAGTACGCTCGTGCAATTCTATGATTCTGCACGTCGGTCATGAAATCACTGCCGCAGCCTGGTACAGATGTTCTCCATCATTACAAGAATTGGTAACTCTCGATCCTTCTTAAACAATGCATTCATAGACTCCACATTGTTCAACGTCATCAAGTTGTACCGACATCCTGGAAAATGTGACCGAACCCAATGTTCTATTCCCATTTTTGTAAGATAATCACATGTCGGGAACGACTTACTTCCTATCTCGACCATAAACTTACTACATTCCTCGACAATGTAAGCTTCGGTCGTTCTCCTGAACAATGCAACGATGTCTTGTCCCCGATATCTAGTCTTCAGATTAC